TGCAGAAGGATGCAGTCCGGTCTCAGGACTCTTCATTAGGGACAAAAGGAAGAGGTGCAATATGGGTAGTGTTGGAAGTGATGATGTTCGTTCAACCTCACTTTTTTTTTCAGAACCAGGGATCAAACTCAGGCCCTTGCACTTGCCAGGGAAGTGCTATTCCACTGAGCCATCTCCCCAGCCCTCAACACCACATATTACAGATAGCAGATTTAAACTCTCCCTTGGCAGTTGCAGTGAAAAAAAAAAAGTGAAATATTAAAGATTCTGCCTCTGAATGAGATAGAGCGGAAGTCTTTTTCCTCTGTAGTATGAGCACTTCTGAGTCGTGAAGTATAGGGGAAAGCAGAATGCTTTTGAGTCACATCAATGTTTAGAAAGAAAATGAGCACAGCCTTAAATGTGTTCTTAGAACAAGGCAACTCTGCTATCTTGCTTAGCAAAATGGTTGTAGACTGCACTGCTTAGGTGTCTGCATCTCCTCCCCATGTAGCCTGTATAGTATTTCCGTGATAATCACATTCAAGCTGAAGAGTCCCTGTACCCTAAGAATGAGCAAACCAGAGCACTTAAAGCGAGTCTGCAGCCAGTGGATCAGCTGAGTGCAGCTTAGCCTGCAGGCACCCACTGCCAGGCTGGAGTACTGCTAGGAGAGGCAACCTGTCTTTTAGTCCCGAGTCTCTTAGTCCCATTATTCAGTGCGGGATTTTTTACCAGTGAGAGGGTAGTCTGGAGATCAGTTGCTTTCTGCCCTGGGGCTCACCTTTGGTGGGTGGTTCTGGGAGGGAAAAAAAAAAAAAAAAAAATAGGCCCTTCTGAGCATGCACCAGTGTGAGATGCCTCTAGTGGTCATGGGACGCTTGCCATTCGTGAACAAGAAAATGCTTATTTTCTTGGCCTTTTTGGCTGCATTCTCTTCACCACCGAGTTAAGCAGCAATAGAAGTTTGTTGCTGTCAAATGTCTGTTCTTTGGGAAATAGGAAAAACATTTTTCTTAAAGCAATGTATTGAACATGAAAACTACTGTGGAAAAAAAAAAGAAAGAAAACTACTGTGGGGGGAAAAACCCGGCTGATATTACAGTAATTATTCAAGCCAGAAGTTGTGGTGCGTTTGTTTATCAGCCCACACAGCAGTATATTCCTGTTCATTTTATTGAAGTATGATCTACATGTTGCACTAATTTTCAGCACACAGCATGACAGATGTTTATATTGTGAAATATTTGCACATGTATAACCCCAGGTAATCATTACACAGATCAAGATATGGATGTTCCCAGGATCTCAGAAGCCTCTGGAATCCGGTGCCCTGGGCAGGCCTCCCTCAGAGGTAACTGCTGTTCTGAATTCTGCCACCAGAGGTTCTTAATGCCATAATTAAGTACATAGCCCTAGCCTCCTAACACAAATAAAATACCGTAATCACCATTTTAATAGTTTGGCTCCAAAAAGGAGCAGTTTCCTCAACATCAACAGTCTAGGTTTTCTGTCTTTTGGAGTGCAAATGTCACACTCCCTGTCTCCCCAGCAGAAGTTATTCAATGCATTGTGTGTGTGTGTGTGTGTGTGTGCTTTTATACCAAGCTCCACCTTAGGAGATATATTCGTTTCGCACACTGATTGTATTTCCCCAAGTGTCTCTGCAGGCAGCCAAGTCAGTTTTCAAAAAAATCCCGTTAGTTTTGAGTGGCACCTCAAGAGCTGCCACTGATTATCATGAAAAAGCCAATGAATTCCGATGCAGCATTTCAGAAATTAACTTGAATGTCCTGCTGCCAGCTACTGCGCTGACACCCTGTTCAAATTAAGGCAAGCAGCAGCATCAGTCCTAGAGTTAAAATCCTGAGGAGACTTTCAGCCTACAGGCCAGCCAGGGCTGCTTCATGGTCTGTAGCATAATGTAGTCATGGTTGCTGTTCCTCCAGGACCCTTTTTTATTCAAATGAAACCATTCTGTCTGAATATCAGAATATGGACAGCGCATGTCAAGAAGCAGAGCTAGTTTTGAAATGAATTCTTATTATACCAGAGTTCCCTTGTTTGATTGTAGGACAGTCAACAAATGTATCTCATGCATAGATACATGTTTGGCAGAACTGGGGGTTGAACTCAGGCCCTTGTGCTTGCCAGGCAAGCGTTTATTCTACTGAGCCATCTCCCGGGCCCTATCTCATGCATATGTTATCTCCAGGTTTTTTAGCTGGGGCCAGAAGACAAAAGAAAACGGGTCCTTTCCTCACTACCTGGAGCTGAGCTTTGCTTAGCCTAGGTCCATGGCTATAAACTGGTATTTCCTCTTAGAAGAATAAAAAAGGCTGCAATAACTTTTTTCCTAATTAGTAGGCATACATTTGGAAGATAAAACAAGTTAAAGAAGAAAATATAACATTCCCTAATCCACCAAAGGAAGTCCTATTGCAAGAACTTGGATTCATTCCTTCCAAGAGTCTATAATTCTCTCGCTCTCCCTGTTTCCCAGTCCCTCTCTCAGTATCTGTGTGTCTCTGTCTCTCTTCCCTTCCCCCAACTTCAGAGTTTGGATGATACCATGCATTTTCTTCTATCACTCTTGAAACATGTTTAATGTTCTGAATGACTGTAATTTCTGGAAAAAGAATGCAAACTTTGTTAACCGTTTTGTTATAGGATCTTTTTTGTTCTTTAAAAAATATTTGTAGATATTTTATATCTTTTTATTTGAAATTAAGTCTTTTCTTTCCTGCTGTACTGAATGACCAGAACTTCTAGTGCAATACAGTAATGGCAAAACTGGCTGTCCTTGTTCGTCTTGATACTAAAGGAAGCAACTCTAGTGTTAATATTCTGATTTCAGAAGGTTAAAATAATGGTAAACCCTCTGAGTTCTAAGTTTTAAACACCAGCAATGAAGATACGAACATTATGAAATATCTTTAATGTTACTGAAATACTTAGAATTATACTAATTTGGCCTATGGATGTAATTTTTATAGTAATAGATTTCCACATGTTAATCCCTCTGCCTGAGAGTGAATACTATCATGTCATGTAGTGTTATACTTTTAATGAACTGTCAAATTGAGTTCTAGACTGTTGTTTGGGGGATTTCAGCATTATTGTCTAGAGATAACTAGTGTAACTGGTTTTAAAACAAACAGTGTAATTTTAGTCTGTGGATGAGGTTGCTGAAATTGGGTTGGGAGCCCTACTTACATCTATTTTCCATCATCCTTTTATTTTTTGATTCATAGTCCCAAGTGCTACAATGTTGTGACTTCACAGAGTACTCTTCTTCACCTCTCTTAAGAGCACTCATCATACTGTGTCTTTATTAAAATTCTCTGTACATTTGTCCTCTGCCTTTGTAGGAGGATCCATGGCCTTGATTCAAGAATTCTCCATCTGCCCCACTTAACCACTGCACGCTGTCTCTCCACTTAGTCTCTGCTGTAGAATTAGACTGCTCCCCCGACCCAGATGCTGTAGAGGCACGTATGCAAATGTATTTAGATCTCCAAGCACTGTGGTCAGCTTCATACGAGGAGAGCAGAAACGTAAAAGTGGTTCCAAAATTAGGCAGACGCTGTGTTGCTCTTTGTAGGTACTGTGGCAGTAATACGTGTCCAAAGGACACAGGTCAGCTTCTGGGACTTGGGACTGGACACCAGCAGAGGCCGGAGCACAGCACTAGAGCCAGCCTTGGGTGGCTGCTCCAGGTGGCTGCTCTATACGGGCTCTGATGAGGGCTTATGCAGAGCCAGCTGCTTCAAATAATTTCTCCATACTCAAGCACACACTCTTGCCTGCTCTTAAAACTAAATACATTCATTATACTCGAGTCATTTTTGTTTTTAAAAATTCTTTGCATGCTCATTCAAAGGCATTACTTTGAAGTGATGTCAGTTCTTTCCAGGGGAAGCCTGATACAATCGAGGGCCTCCACTGACCACTCTGTTTGGTCCCATGAATATTCTAATTCCTACTGTGAGAGTAATTTATGTGGCTTACACTTAATATATCTTAGGCTAATCTTTTTTATCTTAATACCATTAAGTGGTATTCTTCACACTTCAGCCAAAGCAAACTAAAAGATCATGTAGGCATTTGACAAGTAGTTGAATATAGAATCGTATCCCAAGGAAACAAGTGAAAACTAATGGATGAAACAGTGATGGGGGTTGGGAGAAAATCAAATGACAGACTAATTCCACTTCTGGGTGTGTCCCATATATATACCAGAAGAGAGGTTAGGACACTCATGCTCGTAGCAGCACTATTGGCTATAGCCAAAAGTCAGAAGCAGCCCAAGTATCCCCTGAAGGGTGACTGGGTGAACGGAGATGTGGTTTATATGGATAACTCAGTGTTAAAAATGAAGGCAGGTCTGGTGCTTGCTGCGAATGGATCAAGTTTGAGGCTATTGTGGAAAAGGCTGCTGTTGTATGCTTCCACTCCTTTGCAGTACCTAGAACAGTAAAATTCACTAAAGCAGAAAACAGAATGATGGTCTCCAGGGACAGAGGGCAAGGGTTTTTTGTTTGTTTGTTTGTTTGTTTTTGTTTTTGTTTTGGCGGAACCAGAGATTGAACTCAGGCCCTTGCACTTTCTAGGCAAGTGCTTGTCCCACTGAGCCATCTCTCCAGGCTACAGTTTCAATTTTACAAGATGAAGAGTTCTGAAGATGGGTGATGGTGCTGATTATGGAACAATACAAAATCTACACTTAAAAATATGTAAACTGGAAAACTTTGTGGTGTGTGTGTCCTACCACAATTACTTCTAAAGTGTGCTGGACAAAGTCCACTACTTGAGCTGGAATCTCCATGAAAGTCATAACTACCACAGCAGTACTTCAAGTGATGGCTCTTCCCAGGAGCTGGTCAGCTTCTGAAGTGCTCTTCCTGGGTGGGGAGAGTGTTGACTGCCTCAGGGCACAAGCTAGGACTCCTTTGGAAGCAAAGTGAGATGCCATGTTTAGTAATTGTGCTCTCTCTCTCTCTCTCTCTCTCTTGTTTTAGGGTGTTAAATACCACATTATTTGAAAGTTGGGAAATCGTTGGACCTTACCCTTCCTGGTGGGTTTTTAACCTACTGCTATTACTAGTGCAAGGATTGAACTGCTTCTGGTCTTACTTGATTGTTAAAATAGCCTGCAAGGCAGTTTCAAGAGGCAAGGTAAGCTACAACCCCCTCCTTACTATGTCCTGGAAAAGTTGGGTTTTATTTCTGTTGTTGTTTCTCTGAAACAAATGTTATTTCAAATTTCATCAAAATCAGTGTTATTTCTTCAAAATGAAACCAAACCACCTAGAAGCAAAAGAAATTGTTTTCTTCTCTTTAGTTCATTTTTAGTCTTTGCATGGATGCCACATCTTCTACATTTGTAATTTTAGATTTAATGATGATGCATTACTGGCTGTGTGCTTTCCTCCTCTGTATCTCCCTCGGTCCTTCTCTTATGACATTTATACTGTACAGAAATGTAATAACTTTCTTTTTATGTAAAGCATTGCTTGGTGCAGTGTGCCCACTTAAGCCAACCTGCATTTCAAGTTGAGGAGTAAAACATTCATGACTTTTAAAACAAAATCTAGTTAAATCTCTTTGGTTAGAAGTGTAGCTGATTACAATAAAACTTCCTGAGCCTCAGATGCTTTGTGCAAAACAGTGACTTTTCCAAATTATTCTTTGTGACATTTTCTTACCTCGTTGTTTGTTCTCTTCCTCCTGCCACCCTGGAAGGCTGGGAAGTGGAACCCTTTACATGTAAGTTTCTTGCATCTGTCTTTCCCTGTCACGCACCTTTGTAGTGGCACTCCAACGCTTTGGTCTCACGCATATTGTTCTTCCTAATCTACTGGCCCTGACCGGAAGTTTTAGGTCTTCTTTAGTAGGAAAAAGAGGAGGGACAGCTCTGTGCTCTTTTGTGCAACTGTGTAACCTGCTAAATTTCACATGGTTCAACAGCAAGGGAGAAGAATTTCTTACATTGGTGTTTTACATATTGGCTAAAAGACAGAAATAGACCAAGAAAACAACTCCAGGTGAGGACTTGGGGGAAAAAAAAAATCAGTGCAGTGCAGCATAGAGGCCAGAGCATCATGATTTGCCTGACTGGCACAAGGCTACAGTGTAGCACCGGACCACCCATGCTCATGTGGGTGTGCAGAACCCACCCCTCCCTCAGGGCAGCACCCCCTCGTTGTGAAGTGGGTCCGCAGCGTCAGCTCCTGATAAACCCTAAATAAGCTGATCAGTTAATTTCTTAGAGGCTGTTTATTTTTCTCTGTGACTTCTTACTCTTTGAAACCAACATATATTTCTATTAAAATCTGTCTTGTCCTCATTGGGATACAAATTAAATCCACACGCACAGTGCTCTCAGGGTGATAGTATCTAGGGTTGCATGGAGACGGTGGGTTAGATTACTTTCGTTTGTGTGGCATTGCTATTTCCACTGGACATACTGTCTTTCCTCTAACTTTCATTTCTTCGTCTTTATGAAGAGATGATTATTAACTTCATTCCAGAATTCAGACTTTAGAATTTCTTAACTGCCATTGCCGCTGTCATCTAGGAAGATAAGATTATTCATCTTGTCCATGGGCCCTTTTCCTGAGGGTTAAGATACCCTCCATTGTTGTTGGTTTGTTTTTTTTTTTCCCTGAAGGTCACATAAGTATAGATTTCTCCAAATGCAATTTAAAATATTCTTACTAGGCATGCAAATGTAAATTAATCAACTGCAACTGGAGTTTTCTACTAGCAGCTTAATTGATGACTAATGGACTTATCATGTGATGGAACTTTACCATAACGCTGTTTGTCACCCATGTTTTTTAAATTGAAATCTAACCATCTAGTCACATCGATGTACTACATATCTATGCTTTGGGAGATGTGGCCTTAATCTGAGTTCAGTCCCATCTCAGTTGGCACTGGGGTGAGGAGCGTTTGTGTGAGTCTACTCCATCACTGGTTGGAATGGAGCGACAGTTCTCGGCCTGTACTTTCATCTGTCCCACCCACATGAACAACTTGCACAGCAGTGGCGGCCTTTGAGGTGGTAGATTCTAGGATTCCCGAGTTGGTGTGGGGTGAGAGATGCAGATGAGCTATGATTTGAAATAACCTCTGTTTTAGTTTGAAATATCTCCTGGAGATGCCAATCTCCTTAGCCCGGGCCTAAGGACATCACAGGAGGACCACCTTAGGACAATTTCTACAGAGCTATACAGACAGGTCCTGTTAGGCCCCTCACTTAAAAGTTAGGTAGGGCCAGGCATATAGCTCAGTGGCACAATGCCTGCCTGGCAAGTGCAAGGTCTTAAGTTGGATTCCTGGTACCAAAAATAAAATAAAATAAAAAGTTTAAAAGTTAAGTAAACAATATCTAGTTCTTGGAAGATCTTAAAGTCTGCTGGGTAGAACTAATTTAGATTTACAGAGTAAGAGGTTTAAACTATTTTCATTTTAACAATAATAGAGTATTGCTTAGCATAGTGGCAGATTCCTGTACTCCCAACACCGAGGAGACTGCAGCAGGAGGATCGCCACCAGTTCAAGGCCAGCCTGAGTTACAGAGTGAGTCAAGGCCAGCCTGAATGACATAGGAAGACCCTGTCTCAGGAACAAAAAATCCGAAAAGCAATAGAGTAGTTCCCTAATTTCCCCTGGTTAGAGTACCATTTTTCATCCTTCATGGTAATATAAATTTATATCATGGTACCTTATTTTTCCAGGCTCATTACTTAATGAGACCAAGTGAAGGATTCAAGAAGTTGGTACAGTGGGGACCATTTAGGGAGGATCTAGTCAGTGAATTTTCCTCTGGAAATAGTTTACACTGGACCCCACCCAAGAGCTTCTTACAGTGCCTTCTAATGTCATTAGTTCATGTATGACATATAAAACTACAAAGTCAAATAGAAACCTTTTTTTAATGATCTAAACTAATAAGTATGACCATTGGTGTGGTTGAGAGCCAACTTCAGTTAGTTCTCAAGGAGAACATAGTCATTAGAGAATACATTGATCCATTTGTACCCAATTCCTGGAATGTCATTCTAATAGTGTAGCATGCCAGTTTGGGGTAAGAGGAGAGTCATGTCTAGTATAATGATGGAAAAACTGTGGTATGTGTGTTATTTTCCTTTTGAGACCAAAGATATTAATTAATGGATGAGTTCTTTTTTCTAAACTAAAACCTAAGCATTCAAGTTTCATGGCATTGTTGGCACATAGTGGGTTTTGGTTTGTGGTTTGGGCGCATGTATCCAAAGGGTTTGCCACCTCTGGGACTCTAGTACGGTTTCAGTCTCAAGAGATACTTTAGAGACTTCAACAGTACCAACCCTATGACACCTAAATTCACCTTCTTAGCATGCTGTGTCTTGATGGCTCCTTAGACGCTGGCTACATTCACTTTCTTGTGTTCTACAGGTGTCCAAGGATGATAGAAGTGACATTGAGTCTAGCTCAGATGAGGAGGACTCAGAACCTCCAGGGAAGAACCCCCACACTGCAACAGCCACCAATGGGACCAGTGGTACCAATGGGTACCTGCTGACCGGTTCTTGCTCCATGGATGATTAATTACTTAAAACTATAAGTCCTGAACAAAGTGAACTGTTTGTTCCTGGAAGTATTTAATAAGTTGCAAATGCAGTTCCTTTCATAATATTCCAGCACCAGAAAAAAAAAAAATTAGGATTATCAAAGCATTTTGAATAGTGCACTGCCATATGTCCTGTCTGTGAATGAAGAAGAAATACCATTCTATGTAGGCATGCTGTATGTAATGACACAAGGGAACAGTATTTGCATTTGTACTGTCTTAGAATTTATTTATTTTTTGTATGTTTATAAATCTGTGGACAAAAGAGGGTTTTCTTGCTCCTTTTATTCCCCAGGTTCGTGACAGTGAAGGAGATGCTACATCTGCTTCGGCCCCTTCCTCTCGCTGTAGTCCAGCAGGCCAGGTGCATCAGCTTAATTGGTCACTTAGAGCAAGCCAAACCCAGTGCGAGATCCCCAACAGCGCTGATAGGTTTGCTTTCTTTTATTGCTTTGCCTCTTCTGAAGCTGTGTCATCAGTCTCCGTGACTGTCCTCCCAGTGTGAAGCTTAAACAGGATCAGATTGGTTTATAAATTGTCAGTCACTGTGGTCGAGTAGCAGTTCAAATAATAAAGAGGATGATTATCGGAAGGCTTTTTCGAATGTTGTATGAAACTGTTTTGGAGTAGATTTTATCACTTGTGCACACAGCCAAAATTTGTCTCACGAGTGTGGCAGTTAGTTGGGCATTGACCTGTAGGGCATGGAAATTTTGTATTCTCTGTGTGAGACAAATTCAGTGTTCTGACTCTGAAGGACAATACTTCGCTTAAAGTCTTAGTTATAAAGAAATCAATCTTACTAGTAGGAATTTGTTCCATGTTAGAAGATTTATATAAAGAGGGCAACTGATTTCAATCAGATTTTGCCAACCTCATAATGAGTGCTGCCGTCTGTTGTGTCCTGAGAAAAGAAGCCAAGTGCATTTGGGATGGTGAAGGGCGTCTCTCTGGAGCTAGCACAGGTCGCCCCGGGGCGCAGCACTTTATCTCAGCCAGCTTTTGAGGAAAGGCCCTAGCCTAGTTGGACTTGATGTTTTTGTTTTGCTGAGAAAAATAAAGCCAGTGAAAGACAGACTGGTGTTCCCCTTGTGTTTCTCTTTGGACATAACCCACAATGACCTTCCTCGTGCACTCCCAAGTCCTTTCTATTTGCTTCTTCTTTGAAGACTTGTATGGTTTCCAGGAATTTGTATTCAATTTTTCTTTCCAGAAAAGCAACAAAATTCTGTTGGGCAATGGCAATATCAGCAATGAGAAAAAGTCCCCGAAGAATAAAGTCTCCTTCAGCCTTCTCCACAGCAGTGTTAGGTACAGATAAGAATTCCATGCACATAAGCCAAAGAGGACTTCTCTTCTAACTTCTAGTAAGAGAGAATACATGAGAATTGCATGCCATTATTTTGTAAATCAAAAAAATCACCACCTAAAATAGGAATCCAAAACAAAATGCAAGAATATAAATGTGTGAAGAGAGCAGAACAATCCTAGAACGTGTGTAGTCTGCTCAGAGCCACTCATGTTTAATTTGATTAAGAAGAAAACTAAAGAAAAGAAGAAAACTAAAATATGTCTTTGTGCCCACACTTTGCAGTCTGTGAGTTAATAGAAGAATATTTCCAAACAGAAACCTCTTTTGTTGTAATATTGTGTTTCCCCACCCTCCTCCAAATACAATGTTTCTGGTATGGTCCATAGTAATACTTGAAGAGGTCTGTTTGTTTATGTAGAAAACAACGCAGCCTGTTTTGCTGGTGGACCCTGGTTGCAGTATTGCACAAAAGAGGCATTTGCTTAGGCATCTAGTTTGTGGATGGCTGAGTTCATGAGACCAGTCACAAAACACCAAAAAGTAGTCCTTTCAGTGTCTGCTCAAATGCAGAAGACAAAAGTAACATCAGGCATATTAGAGCAGAAAGTTTTGAGCAGGTAAAAGATGTCAACACCTGAGATGTGAGACGTATTCACCTCACTTTACTGTCTGGGCAAGTCGAGTCCTCCTGATGGACGGAATGACCTTGAGACCACAGTGGGTCCCAGCAGGAGCCATCTTGCATGGAAGAATAACTTCAAAATCAGCTTATAAATTAAAGATTTAGAAGCAGTACATGAGATGGTAACATTGATTCTGTGCTTAGCAGAGGCAAATCTAAGAGACCTTTCTTTTTTTTCCCTCAGTGTAACTTAGAAGGAAGACTGGGCATGTTCAGTCTTTCTAGTTGCTAGTGTTAACACGGTGCTCTCTACAGAGTTCTTTTTTGGCTGTGGGACTTGGTGGGGATTTTTATGGTGCGGAATAACCTGTGTCTGTCTGCTGCTCTCTGATGGTGGCCTGAGAACAGCTGAGAGAGAACACTCTGAAGTAGCTTCTTGTCGTGTGTGCCAGACTGTAGACTTTGAAGGTGCATTTTGTAAATTCAGCTGTAGGTTAGTGAGAGTGGTGTTTCTTGTTAGTTAGCCTGTGGTGACATTTCCTTCTTCTAGGCACGTGCAGACCTTTCCAGGGTTCCAAGGGATATGTAGAAAGGACTCTAAAAAAAGTGATAGTTTAATCTCCAATGTTATAGCTTTTCTAGATCTCTTAGCGGGGAGAAAAAGTAGAAAATCAGGTAGAATTGGGACTTGATTTTATATCAATAAATGATATAAAAGTGTATGATCTACGTGTGTATGTGTATGTCTCTCCAAAAGTTGATAAAAGCAAAATGTAGTGATTTGTCTTTGTCTGTATTTCTATCACAAAACCACTAGAAGCTTCCCGGGTCCTTTGTTCTGGTTCCCCACCAAGCTAAGGGTGGCGGAGCCCTTTCAGTCTCTTAGCCACAGAGCTACGTAGGGTACAGTCCAGGGCATGAGCACCTGATACAACTCATGTTGCCAGATCAGTCCTGTGGATTTTGACAATGGGAGAGAAACGATCAGTACTTTGGATTATTCAGGTATTTGTTGGAAAAGGGGAAACAAGTCCTGCTTATCCCCAGGCTTGTATTAACATCCTACTGTTGAGCTGCAGGACAAGTGGGGTCCTAGCTTCCCTCAGATAATTGCACAGCATCTGAGAAAGAAGAGGCAGACAAGGTAACCAGGAAGTAATGTGAGATCAGGAGATCTCTAGTCAAAATAGAAGATGAACTTCCAAATGGCCAGTTCTGTTGCTACACTTGCCAGTGTGAATTCAGTCATACACTACATAATAATGTTTCGGCAGTGACAGACCACACGCACAGTTGTGGCCCTGCAAGATACTAACAGCCTCAGTGTCTAGTAAGCCAAACCAGCTGGGTTTGTATAAGTCTGCTCTGTGATGTTCATGTGTAGTGAAATCACTTAAGGGGACAGTTCTGAGGATATGTCCCTGTGGTTATATGATACATGAATATATTGGACAGAAGTTTAATTTGAACACACTGAATGTCTTTATTTTTACGCAAAAAGAATCTGAATCTTCCATTTTGTATTAAATCTCATTGTTACTTGGACTAATTAAAATGTGAGTCTTCCTTTCAGCTTGTCTGAGACTGCTAAAGCGCTCCTCAAAGAGAAATTTTTGGACAACCACGATTGTTCCCAGTCCACTCATAATTCTACATTAATAGTTACTTTTGTCTCTATCTGGAAATATTAAAGCCAAAGTTGCCTGAATATGTATTTTCGTTGATCTGCAGTATAAAGACTATACAGATAATCCCAAAGGCATTGAAAGTTTCCATGTATTAGTGTGTGTTGCTGTCATTAGATCCAGAGAGGTTTCAAGAAATTTTTTGGAAATAAAAGGTTAAATGTTTACATTTCATGTTATATTTGAGGTGGTAACATTCTAATTAGCTTTTTTGGTCTTTGGATTTCTTCTTTATAGACAAATAGGAATAGTGCAGAAATGTTTCTAATATGGAAATAAGAAAAAAAATCAAATCAATGTCAGCCTGAAGACAATGTGATCCCATAGCACTTTTTCATGTGCTGTAGGTAACTTGTATGGAAAAAGAAGGTTCAGGGAACTCTAGTTGTTGCACTTGTATCTAGAGCATCATCTTGGAAGGAATAATCATGAGCAGTTCATTAAACACAAATTCTTCTTGAAAATACAAGATTTTTTTCTTAAAATACTATTGTCCCAAGAATCAGTTTAGGTTTCTCTTGGAGAAATAAAACTATTTTCAAATTGCCACACAGTAATTATCACTAGTTCACCTGCTGTGTCTTAGGTCTTTTAGGGATTGGCCAAAGAAACCACCCCTAGGGGGCACTCGGTGCATACTAGGAGCCCTGTCTACTCTGCTGTTGTAACTCCTCTAATACTTAGAGGTAGCATGTGTAGTGCCAGTTTTCATGGAGAAAAATTGTCTTGGAGAACATTAAACTTCTTAAGTATTGTTAATGAGATTTGCAGGCACCTGAAGACACAGCCTTTTCTAGGTATTTCCAACATGGGTTCTTCCCAAAGACTTTGACTGTACTACATTACCAAATGGGCACACGCTGAGCTGAAGGGATTGAACTCTGCAGCCTGGTGGCGTATAGTGTCTTCACACAACGGAGTTCTTGGGATTGATGAGGAAGTGATAGGAGGGTGAGTCTTAGCCTAGGATAGGAGGGGCCTGTTAGCCTAGGGTCAGTCTTGCTTGATCTCATTCATTCGCATTCCTTTCAGCTTTCTAGACTCTTGATAAGAGAAGGAAACCAGGCTGTCATTTTCCTGCTTTGGATTTCTCACTAGCTTTTGGATCTCATGTGTCACACCTCTTCCTCTGCTGATTCCATTTTTCAGAAAGCTGTTTTTGTACTGTGTGTGTTTCTTTATGCTGGGTCCATGAAGGCATGGCTTGCTGTGTTGGTGTATGTTTCGTGGTCTAGAATCCAGAAATAACAGCTCTGAGGAAGGTTTTTGTGTTTGGAAAAAAAAAAAAAAAGTAGTTTTCTTTCTTTTGGGGGGGAGGAGAGGGTTTACAGAAATCAGAAGCATCATCATAAAACTACATTTTGAAAATTAAGGATTTTAGAAAGTAGCTGCAAAAATAAGTAAATAAAGGCTGTATAAGAGGAGCAGCTACATGATGATTCTAGAAGTTCAGTTTAGAGTTCATTAATTTAAACATGGAAAACATCCTCCAAGTTTGATTTCTTATAGCTCCATTAAGCTCTTACCCTCATGATTTTCAACAGCATCTGTGTGCCCATGTCATAATCATTTGCTTCCACAACCATTTGTTGGCATGGAAGGGGCTGGTGGTTAGCTTTTGGTTTGATTTTTTTCAGCTTTCAGTGAGAAATAGGCTTAGGTGACAAAACCTTATCCTCTTAAAACAATTCAATGCTTGAGCATCTCTGTCAGAATAGAAGGATGTATGTACTGTTAGCCAATTAGAATGATTTCATGTGTTGTTACTGTGTTTTGCTGATTTTATATGAAAATACAATTATTCATTCTTGACCTCTGGAAGCAATCATTATTATGAAGATCATTTTACTTTGGAAACACTTTCATAATAAAGATAAGTACTAAGAGAACAGTGTAAGTGTCCTTTACTGTAAGCACTAACTAGCTCATGTTGGGAACATACCACACCTTCTTGATGGAGATGTGTGAGCATT